GCAGTGCATTTTGTGCGAAATGCATAAACTCGATAGTGCAAAGTGCATGTTTTGTTGCATAAATATAGGCGTGCGCGCCGGCGACAGTGCAGCAGCGTGGCCTAGACAAAGTACATACATACATACATACATATGCATTTGTTCGTGCGTGCGTAACTAAATGCATGTTTGCACATTTTCGTCATTCACTGCTTGTTAGCCGACACGCAAATTTCGCATTTGGAAACGCCCCAAAAGGTATACCTACATATACATACATGCATATGTTCTCGTAGTGGTGCAGGGTTCTAGGCTAGCGCGTGGCTATGCCTGCTAAAACACAATAGCAGCGATATGTATGCGGTTAGGAGCTCACTTTAGTTATTTGCATTTTCAGCTTCAACGCTCAGTTGTTTACATTTTGTGCGCTAGGCTGCTCTTTTTCGTACGCTGCTCTTTTGCTTGGGACAAAGTTTCAATGGACGCGAGTTAAGCGCGAATGAACGATCCTAGTCAATGCACACGATTAGCAGTTAGAAAGCGTGTGGTGCGCTATTAGTCTATCGCTAATTCTAAGAACTTTGTATTAGTATTTCATTTACATACGTAGCATCTGCGTTCACTTAATGCCCATATAAATATGTATTTAGCTATCACTGATACTCGCACCACCAAAGTACCTTTGGAAGTGTGGGCGTCATTCGTTTTGTCATTGTCGATTTCTTGGAATGCGTTTGGTAAGCATTAAAGCTTCGGAAGTATAATTTGTTGTCAGTTATGATTGAATTAAAGCCGTACAGGCTAACCTAATATTCAAGCACGCCGGCAATTTTTTGGCAAAAATGTCTCATGCGCTAAAAAGCTAACTCGATTTCCAATTTTTGTTCCACGTGAGATTTCCTCCTTCTTTATTTCGAAAATACGTCTCGCTTTCTTCTGCAGCATGGCGCTATATGCAGTTGCGTTTTTCTTTGCATCAGTTGTTCTTTCGGGCCCTCTGAAATCCAACTACTTTAATGGCGCCGGTATGTAGTAAGCGGAATATGTGGTTCCACTCTTCAAGAGCGCTCTTAAAGAGTATGTATGAAAGTCGAGGTATATCTGCTTTCATTGCATTGTTGGATGCATACTTTTTGCTGCACAGAGGCATGTGCATATTTTGGTTGCAAGGAGATAGTGGTTGGAAATTGGTCAACTAGCTATGGGCTTTCTATAAATCCTGATTCCCTTGTGCGCGTTGACTGAGTCAAGTTCTTGCGCGTGATCGTTTTAATATTGATGTTCGAGTAAAAAGGTTTAAGTGGCTTTTTAATGCAAAAGTGTTAGGCAGGCTACTCACGAATCCAACACCTCGAACAAAGAGGGAATCATCTCAGCCTTTCCTTTTCAGTTGCCCGGCATTCATCAACACTCCCGAGGAACTCTCGGGCATGGACATCAGCTGCCTGCGGAACTTTGTTTTACCCTGCGAGGAGTTTTATAATGTGGTAACCAATGGACAATTAAATAAATGACTAAGTGAGCCCCTACTGGGGCTGCCATCCATGTTTCAGATCTCGGCAAAGTCGATCAACCCCAGTTGGTTATCGAACGCTTTTTCGTGGAGGCAACATTTTCTGTCGGTCAGAATGCCACGCTGCCATTGAAGTCGTACAAATTTAATACAATTTAATAGCAGCACTAGTAGGTGCGCTCCAAGCGCTCATAGAATTTGTATTCTAGCAAGAAACTTGTCCGAGTTTTGCCTTGTGTCTTATTGCTGCGCATTCTTTTTGATGGCGTAAATATCAGATTTGGTCTCTATGAGGAACCAGAAATCCGAGGTAATGTTTCAGCCTTCATTGGTAGAGATTTTTACTTGGTGAATTTTTAGCCCTGCGCGCCATTCATTGAGGGGTTTTGTTTTTAAAAGGATGTACATTTATATATCTAGTACCCGCTTGGTTCAAGACAGATGTCCACTTAAAGCCGGCCCGCTGGTGAATAGATGCTGTTGAAATCAGTCAAGCCTTAAGCCTAATAAGTCTGAGTGACCCCACTGGAGCTTCTTCTATTTAAAAAACGGGGTTTCCCAGTGTGATTTTTTTTGTTTTAATTTTTTGGATTTTGATAAAAGAATGAAATGATTAGTGGTCTTTCGGCATTTCTTTGCACCTCACGGAATTTTTCAGAAATGTTTTGGTACTTTTGCAAAAAATACTTTTGCAATAAATAAATACCTACTAAGGCATTTTTACCTTTTAAAATGTGCAAAAATTTTTTGTTGGTGCGTACGTATGATTGGTTTTCACATTCCTTAAGAGCCTGAGCTTACAAAAACTGCGAAGGTCAACTGTGAATTTCGATAGTAGTGAATATCTGACTAAATCATAGTATTTCAAAAGAGTTAAACTTATAACTAAATGTGTGTAAATGTATTTGGAATTCTGTTTCACACAAATATGGACTCAATTCTTACATTCATAATCTCCCTCCCTGGCATTGATTTTACTTTTCAGCATAAAACGAGGTGTCATATATGAAGCCATAAATTCGTTTTAATTACCGCTTAAACTTTTCCCTCAGAAAATAATAAATCCTACTTGTGAAATAGTTGGACTCGCTTAACTCGTACAAAATGCAAAATTATATAGTAAAAATGCTGAAAGTGGCTATTAAAAATGTAGAATAAATTGAGAAAGGGCGTGCGATGTGTGTTAGCATTGCAAGGCAACATGCAACGTAAACCACATCAAACATGCAACGCATGGTACGTCACACGCAAAAAATGCCAAAGGTAATGAAACGATAATCAATTTTACATGGGGTAAACCGTAAACAAAGAACAGTGTTTAAATGATTTTAGTGCAGGCAAGTGTTAAAGTGCGAAATTATAGAGGCCACAGGGTATAGTGTATTATGTGATGAAAAAAATTATAGTATTTCATTCACGCGCAATCTCTTACGCTCGAATAACTAAATATTATAAAATAGCCCTTTTTTATGCTTTGCATACTTAGTTGCGGTTGGAGACCGTAGGCTCACAATTTATCGTTTTAAACTTTCAGTGCTGCAACTTGAAACTTCAGAGTTGAGCTCACATGCTTGTTTTTTGTAGGTTTATAATAATTTTTCTTGATTACAGGCTTATGTATGCTGCCATTAAACTCTAGGATTTATGTTTATAAGCTTCATATGAGTAAATAAATAAAATGTCACGCATACGCCCTGTCACGCATCCATATACTAATACGCAGTGGTGGCAGTGGATTTTATGTTGCTCTTTTGTATGTAATGAAAACTATGGTGGAATTTGGTGCAAAGCTATGCATATTTCATATAAACATATTTTACTAGCTGTTGGACGGAGGGGTGTCATCGCACTTCGAATATTTAACAAACCCGGATTACGCTTTGATTTACACTGGAGCTGCAGATTGCACCGAAAATCGATGCGTTTCGGTTCAGCGGTTCGAACTTCTTAGAACAAACTTCTGCAGATGCAAAAACCGGCGCATGAGTACCTCTGAGCCACGGTTTGATTCGGTTCGGTTTAAATGGTTAATTTTTTTGCATACTAATTGGTACAAATATCACGCAAATGTGACACATATGCGCTTTGGTTTGTTAATTACAAAAAAAATATAATTTCAAGAAATCTTTGAATTGGCAACCATATTTGACGAAATGAAGCCAGTAGGCACTATTATTTGAGTGGTTTGTAATAAATTACATAAGTTATTATTAAATTTTTTACAAAAAAGCAACAAGGTATATTGGTTGATAAATAGAACGATGAGAGGCATTCAGATTTACTATAAGCAACGCTTAAATCCCCAGCGGCGCACGGTTAAGTGACGTCCGTCCACAATACACATTGATTGACAACACAGGCCAACGAAATTTCATCAATGTCATGTTGACTAAAATATTATAGCCGATTCTTATAGAATTTTTCCCGTAAAATCCGAATCCGACCTTAAAGTTATTGGATTGGTTGTTGGGCAGTGTACTTGATTAAAACATCGTCGGTGAATTTAAAATTGTGATACACATTGTAGACAGTCTGCTAACTATGTGCATTACAATTTAAAAACGAATACGTAATTGTAATGAGCGCCCGAAAAGTATTCCTTCACATCATACTTTCCGAATAAAATCAACACCAGTATGTAAAAGAACCCAGAGAGGAAGACAAAGGGACGCTCACAAATGCTTGCGTGCCTGAGGTGTCAACACCCTAACTCCACCGCAGTCAGGTGTAACACCTGTAACGTCATGCGTTGCTCCTTGCTGCTCAAATAGAGCTGACTCCACGGTACACCCGAGTCCGCCTGAGCAGCTCAACACAAAAACGACCGTACTACAACATAACAAAATGGAATACACCACAGATACAATAACCCACACCGCAGACATAACTGCACCACCAAGAGACGAAGTTGCACAGCAATTGAACTTCAACAGAGTTTTCCGCTGGAAAATTATTGATTTTCAAGAATTCTATACCATTTATATGAAAAGTTGTTTTTTCCCCCATATAAAATACATGGAAAACTTTGGGCGCTTTGAGCGACTATATTTTTTGATTTCAAAATAAAAAAAATAGGGCTATATTATTTGCGGTATAGAAAAATCGTATTGGTTGAGAGCAAAAAAATTCCGACTTTACTTTTTCACATGCATTTTTGGATCACCCTAATGTATATATACATGGTACGTAGTTAGATAGACATTACTTTTCGAAAAGGTACCAATCCTAATCAAACATATTTTCAAGTGTTAAAACTCATTAATTGAGTATAAGCTAAAAAAATTCGACTTTTGAAACAGCTGGCAACCCTCTTCAAAAGTATTTTCAAACTGAAATACCACGACACGAGATTTTTATATACATGTATATTAGATTTCTAAATTCTGATGAGAAAAACACACATTTTCTTTGGCGATGCACTCTAATGTGCGAGTACATGTATCATTTAATAAATTCATAATTAAATAGGTACATATATCCTTAAGAGTAGTTTAAATTTTAAACATGCATAATATTTGTGAGGTGAAATATGTAAATCTCATTTAGGTGCAGCTTCAGTTTTCATTTTGGCCACACACGCGCTTCAATCCAATCGAGATACTTTGATGCTCTTGTATAAACGCCTGGGGCTTCAGTTGCACAGCCGAGTCCAAACGATGTCACACCAATCACATAAGGCACATGCCTGATATTTAATATCAATGGAGCACCGGAATCACCCTGTGTTGAAAGAAAACATGCAGAAAACGCGTGCATTAAAAAATTAATGTGGCCTAAACATTTTAACTTACTTGACAGGTGTCACGTCCAAATTGCCTATCTTGTGCACATAGCTGTATATCCATTAAACCGAGTGGTAATAAATTAGTATCTCTGTAATGTGTTTGGCACACTTCATTGCCTACGACAATCAGGTAGGCTTTCAAAAGTTCGTCGGACGATCTGCCACCTTGAAGTAGAAAAATAAATTTAAGATACTCAAATTTTGCACCTACGGTGACCAACAGTTCACTATTTTCAAAAATAGTACTTGAATTTTCTCTTCAATTCAAAATGCCTTTAAAATTAGTTTAAGGAGGGTTTAAATTGTCAGCATTGGGATACAGGCTTTTCCTTGGAAATTTCCGCTGTTTACATTGAGCCCTATCCGCCAACAAATGTAAGCGAAATTTTTTCATAATTCTCTATAAATATTCCTGGTTACTCTAGGAGCATTTCGGCATCAAAAAGAGGATTAAAAAAAGTCGCTTACATTTCTCGATGTATAAACTTGCGTGGAATTTCAGTTTCATGTATTCGAATTTATATTTTTCTAACTTACCGAAATCCGTGTGACCGTATCCAACAGCGGTAACATTCTCATTGTCCAGTAACACATTTTCTCCAATGCATGCTGGTTTGAAATTGCTACGAAAATAATTTATACGCGAATTCTTTAAACTAATTTTCTGAATGGGAAACGGTATGATTCATCAGATAAGCACAATATTTTCCTGCAATCACCGGGCTTATATATTTACCTTCGAAGTATCGGGAATGTTTTGTTTTAGCCTGATAATAAATATATTACATAGTAAAACTTAGTGATAAATAAAAATAAAAGGAATGCCTTGGCTTTGCTTCTTTGTGGTTTTTTATTTAAACACCACAATGAATTTTCTTTGAAAACGCTATCTTTTGAATAAAATCTAAAGGCAAGTTTAGAATAGGTTGTGCCGGCAGCTCTGTTAAAAGTTCATTCGGAGGTCGCACAGGCCCATTGTGATGGCCAGAATAGGTTTACCGCATGTCTATCCGTTTATAGCGTCATTATTTTGTTGCCAGTACCAACAGACCCTATAATGAAGCTTTCCTTAAGCTACCTAAGCTCTCAAAGAAGTGGTTCCCCGTAAACTAAATCGTTTTCTCGGGAGTGCTGGACAGTACACATTAGTGTTGCTGTGAGAAGCTTTAAGAGCTTTATGGCCAGTTTTTCAGTGCCAGTTTAAAGTTAGATTAAATAAACTGAGTTTAAATTGAACAGATTGGCTGATCTTAGTTTAAACCAGCCAGAGTTAAACTCCGATTAAATGCCTATTAAATGACGATTACATGCAACCAATTTTTTGTTTGGTTATTTTTACATCTTTTTAGGGCTTAAATAAAAGAAATATTACCACAAAAAAATCATTTCACGTTAATTGTAGCCTAGCAATTGAAAGATTTAAAATTTGCCTTATTCAAAATCAGTTTACAATAGGGGTATTCTATGAGTCTTGCAAAGCCCTTGCACGGTGCACATATTGAAGAGATTGCACGGTAAAAAAACGGTTTTCGTATACGACAGCTTTGCAAGACTCAGAGAATACCCCTAATGAAGCTTCGATATAAGCCGAGATGTTGAAGAAAAATAATGTGCCCATTCGGTTAGCTTGTATAATCACATGTGTAAGTAAATATATTTAATATAAAAAAATATACTCACATAATTGGCTCCGTTAACTTAAGCAAAGCAATGTCATTGTAAGCTTTCTTAGAATTGTATTCAGGATGTATTATAACGTCGGCAATTTTATGCTTTTTTAACGAATAATCGCTCAGACTACCTCCACCTGGTAAAACCACAGAAGGTGTGGCACTGAAAAATATTAAAAAAATATATATATTTTTAAAGAGAATATAAAACTATTCAATGGAGTTATTTAAACTAGAGGAAAGTCAATTTTGCTACTCACCCTCCAACCTTCGCACAATGCGCGGCTGTCAAGACGAAATTCGGCGCAATCAGCGCACCTCCGCATTTATACTCAAACAAATCGGGCAGCATAGTTTCAAATCCCAAAGCAACCTGGAAGTTAAAACATGCGCATGAAAACGAATGCGAGCATTAGCCTTCGCTGGATGAATTTTGAACAGAACTGTTCTTTTGCCATAGTATAACAAAGTTCTTCCAAATAAAAAATTAAAGTTTTTTTTTTGAAAATTATGCACAATTCAGAATTTCACTATTTCCGGGATATGGCAAGTTTATTTTTTGGATATATATTATTGTTACTAAAGTGGCAGAACCATTTCGTTTAGTTTTAAAGGTGATAATTAGGGCTTTAAAACATATTCCGAAAAATATTTATTTATTTTTTTATTAAACAAATTCATAAAAATATTTGGTTATTTTTTTACAATTCCTTCAACTGATTTAAAAAAATCTTGTAAATTTCAAGAAGGGGTTTTTTAAAGTTGTGAATTTTTGAACACTACAATTTTTCAACTGATTTTAAAAAATCTTGAAAATTTCAAGAAGGGGGTTTTTAATGTTGTGAATTTTTGAACACAGATTTTTTTGGTAATTCTCNAAATGGTCCGGAAAAGTCGGGAGGGGTACCAAACGACGCGTTTCGGCCCCCCTATTAACAATCCGGAGTTGGAAGGCTAATATTATTAACCATTTAAAAGTTATGAACAAAAAACTTTTGTTAAATTTCGTTGTTTTCTATGGCAATTACACCGACAAAGATTCACTAAAACACCTGTTCTCACTTTTTAAACACTATTAAAATATATAATTTAACTTAT